GCCAAGTTGCCCAGGCGGGTCTCGAACCCGCGGGCTCAGGCAGTCCACTCACCTCAGCCTCCCAAAGCGCGGGAGTACAGGCTGTGCCACCGAGCCCGGCACTTTGCTATCTTAATATTCTGAATTTGTAAGTGGAAAGAAGCGGAAACATTGGTGATGCCGGGGCAAGCTTTTTTCAGTGCTTGAGTGGCCACTATTAGCACAATAGAGAAATCTTTTGGGAATCCGGGAGGAAATGTTCTTCAACTAGCCCTGGGATTGTTTAACTTGATGGAACCTCGATTTCTCCAGCTGGGAAACGGAAACAGTCACGTATACTTTTCAAAATTGGGAAGTTTAAAGATATATGAGTCACCAGAAAACTATAGGTCACACTCATCTGTTCCATAAATGCTAAGTTCTATGTCAGGACACGTTCCAGATGCGCTAAGGGATATAAAGATGAACAGAAGAAGAATTTGTGCCTTTGCCACTGTGTATATACCCTCTTAATGTTGTCCTGGAAGTGCTCAAAGAAAGAGCAAAAGGCAGTGAGAAATCAATTATTACAGAAATAAATAAGTTACGCCAACTTGCAGATACATTGTCACCTGGAAAGCTAGAGAAACTGAACAACTGTCAGAACCAGTTAGAAAGTTGGAAACATTTAAAAATCATAAGTTTTTATAGTGGAAACTTTTACAAGTCAGAAGTTTTACTTTATGTTCACATCAGGAAGAAAATTACCATGCATCAAATTTATGAATTAGTATTACATGTATTTAAAGAAAATTAACGCACCAGGAGAAGATGCAGATGAACATATGTATGAGGGTGGACACCCCCCCCCCACACACACACATGACAAAAACCAGTTATCTTTTGGAGGGTGGCTCCCCTTGAAGTACAGACTTTCCTGGTTAGGTAATTGTTCTAGGAATCCATCAGCATTAGTGTACCAGCTAGCGTTTTTGTGAGAGACTGCATTTGGCTTCAGTGAATTTTTTTTGTGTGACAGACAGGCGACTGGGTTTTCCACCATGACAACACACCTGCCCACACTGTGCTGAGTGTTCTGCAATTTTTGACCCAAAATGACATGATCCACCCCCCACTCCCCCCGCCATACCGCATACCGCACTCTCCCTGTTCACCCTGGCTTAAGCAACATTTGTTTGTTTGTTTGCCTGGATAAAAAAGTTCTAGAAGGGAAACGTTTTTGCAGATATGGAAGAGGCAAAACAAAAAGCAGCAGAAGCACTAAAAGGCATCAAAATTGACAAGTTCAAAACTGTTTTGAGCAATGGAAAAAGCATTTCAGTAGGTGTGTGGCATCAAATGTGGAGTACTTTGAAGGTGACTGAAATTTAAAGATGTAGGAATAAATACATACTTTTTAATAAATAAATTATGGTTTGGGGGACACCCCCTTGTAAATGGCCTAAGAAGACATTTTTAAGCATAAAAATAAAAGATGAAATTGAACAGAAAAATGTTGAATATATAATAAGTTACAACTTGTATGTTAAAATACACAAGCCAAAATACAGATAACAAACAAATTTTTTAACATTTTGAAAGATAAAAGTTTATACTGCATAAAAAGTTAAAGACATTTTACACAGTCTTAAAGACACAAATGACAGCCAAAAGGAAAATGTGTATAAATTGAGTAGAATTTAGGACAAAAAGAAATAAATAAGTTCAATAAGCATATGTTTCACTTTCTGTACACATTCAAATAAAATTAGTTAACATTTTTCATTTGATGGGAATTACTTTTTAAAGTGCTAAATGTCTACATTTGCAAGGATACAGCAAAATAAGCACTGCTGAATTAGCTATGGAAGTGTAATGGACAAATTTTGTGAAATACATATTTAATAATATATCAAAAACAAAACTATGCCCTTTAAGCCAGACATTTATCTTAGAAAAATAATGTACAGGTATACATCTACATAAAGCTACTAAAAAATGTTTAAGGATGTATAGGAAATTACTATATAATACAGTACTGGGAAATACAGGGTACAAAACTGTAGTATAATCCCAAACTTCCATAGACATACACACATATATGCAATATTAGAGAAATATGAGAGGAAGCAAGTGTACTTATATTACTCTGTTAATTTCAAATGTCTTATAAAGATCACATTTGTAATAATTTATTTTGTCAATTACAAAGTAAAGCTAATATGCTAGAGAGAATAGAGCTTAGAATATGTTACTAAGTCCCTGCCTTCCAGCTGCTTAGTTTAGTCTGAAATTTCTTTAAAATTAAGAGCTTAAGTAGTGTGATTTGCAGGCATCAATTGCAAATGGGAAAGGATATTTGAGGTAATTTATTCTGCCACCACCATTTTACATGTTACTATAGACACTAAGTTGAGTTTGCCCAAGTTTGCACACATCTCAATGGTGAAGCCAAGGCTGGTCTTCATGGTCTTCTGAGTCTGTTCTGCTGTTTTTCCATCGTCCCCTCCTGCTTCCTCATTTTCGTTAGTAGTCTGATCATCTTGTACAACCAGGCTTGAAACTTCATGATCTCTTCTTCTCTTCTATAGCTTTTCTTTTCTTATCTTTGGTATCTATCAGTCCTTAAGCCTTTTTGACCACTTCTCCCTTGTCTGTTAAATCCAAACACATCAAATGGTACAACAGAAAAGTCCTTCACATTACACTTTACCAACAATGTAGTAAAGTGCCTGGAAACTTTTTCTTTCTTTTTTTTTTTTCACTGTAGTTGGCCAACTGTAGACATTTATCATTTTGAAAAGTAATTGTCAAAAAATCAATTCATTACTTGAGTTCAAGCAATTATCTGTTCTTATCTGAATTATGACAGTAAGCTTTCTAATTAGTCTTATGATTTCCATCTCTGCACCTAGCTTGTAGATCAATCACTACCATCCAGCTTGTAGATCAATCACTACCATCCTTGAAAACTTTCTGTAGCTTTCAGTTTTGTACAAAATTAAGTTCCACTATATTAATTTAGCATAAAAGTATTCAGTAATATTTACTCTGTTTATCACTTAGGTTGGTATTTTTATTTGTCCTGTGCTATAGCTAACTGAATTATTTTCTGTTCCTTCAACACATCTTAAAATTGTCCACTTATCTGTGGCAAAAGAAAACTTTTGCTTTTGCTGTTTTCTGAGTAAAACACACACCTTTTTGACTTGTGCTTCCTGTAGTTGTGAATTTGCATTCATCCTGCACTCTCTTTTTTCTTTCTCCTTATGATCTACAGTAAACCCTTTCAAGTCAGTTATCCAGGATTGTTATGGCCATCAAATAGAGGTAGCCACAATGGTTTGTGATTTATATTACCCTCCCCTCCACCTGCATCTCCAGAAGGGTTACTTCTTATTTCAGAGTTGCAACTACAGGGTAATGGGTCTATGATTAGCTTCTGGCACTAGTGCATCATTCTAAAGAGGTAGGAATGACTGAATGACCTAAAGAAAATTAGGATTGCAAAAAGCTGGGACAACTCTCTGGTCTAATATTTACTCTTCCTGGTCACTTTAATGTTTTCTCTTGACTTCTTTTCTATTCTTGATCTTTGGAAGGCTGGCTCCTTGAATGACTTCACTTAAGTCTGGCTTAAAGTCACCTGAAAGAAGACTTCCCTAACCATTGGACCTAAAATAGCTACCCAGTGACTCTCTATTCCATTAGTAATGAAGAAATTACTCTGTTATTTTCTACATATTATTTAATCACTTTTAGACATTATCTTGCTTTTTAACTTTATTTATTTATTGTTTGTTTATTGTCTTTCTTCTACTAGAATTTAAGTACCGAGAAGGTAGAAACTTTATCATATTCAATACAGTATCCATGGTAACTAGAATCAAAGTTAGAATTCTCGGATACTATGAAGGTTCACTGACTATTTGGCTAGAGCATGTACAAGACTTTTGAGGATAATACTTAAAGCACGATGGGCTTGATGGTAATTTAGTTGAATGGTTTCAATTTAAATATCCTTTCCCAGAGAGTACTTTTTAAATGATATAACATGACAGTAATATAAAATACACCTGTCAGCCAAGAACGCTTACTAGTGCTGTAGAGTTCTCTGTCCTTGTTTAACTGAATTATTGATAACTTGAATAACCATTGATGGTATACATAGCAGTTGGTAGATGTCATAAAATCAAGATGAAGAGAAACATGTTAAATGATAAAATTGGTATTTTAAGGGATTTTGACAGGCTGTCCATGAAACAAATTGACCAAAAGACAATTGGACAAGGATATTCAGTCTTAGTCTTTTGTCTAAAAAATAATTTTATAGAATCAGAGAGAGAGTGCTTAGAATTTTAGTTAGCCTTAAGATCATTCTGAGTTAATAGTATAATAGAACTGCCAAGATAAAAAGTGCATATGAACCTAAGCTATGATAAATAAATTATAGTATAAGGAACAAGAGAGGTGACAGTAATACACTATTGGAT